CATCGTTCGGCACTTGTTTCATAGCCCTATAATTAGTAAGAATAACTAAATTGTTATAAATCAACATAATCTTTAAAGATTCTATTGTCCTGTAATACTTGATTGAGTAGGTAATTTTATGTAATGACAATATTATTTCAAAACTTTCTAATATGATTTTGGAGATATCAATATCTGGATTTTCTTTCGTTTATTTGTATTAATAGTTAGCATAATGGGCATTACTCAGGTATAATCCACATGATTGTATTATAATTGATTTTTACTTTTCTAACTATAATTCATCGTATTCTAGTCTAGATTCACTCGACGAGTTCTACCCAGAGAAAGAGAGGAGAAACACGAGTTGAGAAATCTATACTTTAATGGTTACAAACGAAATCTAAATCAGTCGATTATGCAGTACGTAATGAACTTTATAAAACTTCAATATTCTTACCATTGGATCATCACCAGGTGCATGTAAAATTGAAATACACACTCTTCCATCAGGATAAACTAATAAAAATAAACAAAACTATCTTTAATCATATGTATTTATATACACACACAATATTTCATACCATTTGGATGAAAAATTTCACTCATAAATTTCATTTTCGGTGGACTTAATGGATAATCACTTGGAAAATGAAGACGAGTAACAAATACTCCATATTCAAATGATGTACCACTCGGTCCTCTATGAATGAAATAAAAAGAAAAATATTTTATCAAGTATTTCTTTCTATAATACCAACGTTATAAGTGCTTCCCATTCAAAAAAATTCTCATCACTAAGAGGTCCAGCTAAAATTCCATCAGGTGGATTATTTGTCAATTCTAAATAAATCTATGAATATAATATTCAATTTTAATCTAATTTATATTCTTACGTTTATATTCAGCAATTAAACGTCGTAACGCCGATCCAGCCATCTGAAAATATTCTAATAGATAACATTCACAAAAAATGAAAAACCTGCATGTTTTTTTTAGAATCTCTTTTTTAACAAAACAGAAAAATTTAAAAATGAATCAAGTTTTTGTTTGTTGAGATTTAACGTATGTGTCTAAATAATGACTTAATAATCGAGCAGGATGATTTGCTAATGATAATGTTCGACTACCAGGTAATTGTGTTATTGAAACAAGTTCACCTTGATAATAATCAATGTTTGGTAATTGAACTAATGTTTCAAGACCAGCTCGATTATATAAACGTCCATCAACAAGTCCACCAATTAATAATAAATTATTTCGATATTTTTTAAGTAATTTAAACGCTAATGATAAATTATTATCTTTATGAAATAAATAAATTGTTTCGAAACCAAATGATAAAATTGGTGGAAGAAAATTCTCATATTGACTATCATTTGCTAAAGCTAAACTAAAAAAATCAATATTAATAAATAAATATATGTATATATATATTCTTTTTTGAATAATTACTGTGGAACTATTCTTGGAAATTTTATAAATGAAAATCCATTTTTCATAAATTGCATTTTTGCAATTGTATATCGAACTAAATTTTTATATAAAGAAAATAATGAATTATTTTACAAAAAAATATGATTTACTCGGTGGAACAATGCAAATTTCTTGACAAAGTAAAACAATACGACTTGATTCAAGCATTTCACGAAAACGTCGAGCTCGAAATTGATCATACTCAGAAGCCTAGATAGAAATATAACGATTAATTGATCAACATCTATATTAATATGATATAAAATGTTTATTATTCTTAGGAAATCTATTTTTTCGTCTAAACCGTTTCACTAAACAGGAATTTATCGTATAAAACATAGGATATTAAATTCTTAACAGTTTAGTTTCTTCTCATTATAAAGAAAGGAAATATTCATACAAGTTCAATATCTTCTTGATCTAGAAGAATTTTATTCTTGATTTGTTCTCGATAACAATCTTCTACAGGATCAGGTACTGGTTTTTCCAATACGGGTAATGCAATATCTTCCATAAATCGAAGTAAATCTGGTCGTGATCGTGGTCTTCTTGTATTCATTTTTAAATGACGAACACATGATATTGTCGATGGACGTGATACTAAATAATAGATTATTATATCAGAAAATAATTTTTATTAATTGGCATACCAAATCTAAGTATTGAATACATAACGAGAAAATA